ATCATCATGATGGAGAGCATGGCAGTGTGCAGGCAGATGTGATGCTAGAGTAGTAGCCGAGAGCCCTACATCTTGCAGGCAACGGGAAATGGACTGAGACACTGGGCAGTATCTTTTTTTTATTTTATTTTATTTTATTTTATTTTATTTTTGGTTTTTCGAGACAGGGTTTCTCTGTATAGCTCTGTGCCTTTCCTGGAACTCACTCTGTAGACCAGGCTGGCTTTGAACTCACAGAGATCCGCCTACCTCTGCCTCCCGAGTGCTGAGATTAAAGGTGTGCACCTCCACTGCCCGGCTGGGCAGTATCTTGAGCTTAGGAAATCTCAAAGCCTGCCCCCACAGTGACACACTTCCTCCAACAAGGCTGTACCCATTCCAACAAAGCCACGCCTCCTAATAACAATACTCCCTATGAGATTATAGAGGCCAATTACATTCGAACTACCACACCTCCTAATCCTGGAGACCTGAATTTGATCCCCAGAACCTATGTAAAGTTAGGAGAGAATCAACTTCACAAAGTTGTCCTCCAACCATGTGCCGTGGCATGCATGCATGCATGTACACACACACAGTACATACACATACAATAATAAATTAATTTTTAATAAATAGGCATGTCACAGAAAAAGATGTAGAAATGGTCCTTAACCTTGTAGGACCACAATCATCTCTGCTCAGTCAGAAATATGCAAACTAAAGCAAACATGTCTCAGGTAGCATATCACCACCAACACAAATTCCTGACACCATGCTGTGACAGACTTCTAAAATGTTCACATTTTCTGTGGTCTTGTGCCCAAGGTTACATTAGGTTATACAGGAACAGCCATGAGATTTTATGAATGTAATTAACGTCTCTAATCAGTAAGTTGCTTTTAATCAACAGGGAGGTTATTCTCATGGTCCTGATTTAATCAATAGGATGCCTGTCAACAGTCTGGGACTTTCCAGAGGCCAGAGTCATTCTCTTACTGGTCTTGAAGAAGCAAGCTGCTGTGAGCCTCAGCCCTAAATCAATGAGTTTACAAACCAAATGAAACAACAAACAAACAAACAAATCCTCCGGTGAAGCTTCCAGAAGCAACAGGCTACAATGCATTTTCAGCCCTGTAAAACCCTGAGCACTGGCCCAGATGAACTGTCCTCACAACCCTGGTGCAAAGAATAATAAATGCACTTTGTTTGGGCCTGAAAGATTGTGAAAATTTCTACATAGCGCCAGAACCCTAATGACTCCCTCTTGATGAGGCTGAGAAAAAAAACAGGTGCCTGTGCAGTGCTGGTGAGATGCACATGGTTAAAAGCCTGGTGGAGCCACCTGGCTGGTGCAAAAATCCATTTCTGTAATCACAGTGCATCAACTGCTGGCCTAGCAACTCTATTTCCAGGCGTTTGCTCTGAATATAGAACACCATTGACTCAAAGTAGCATGTATCCAGGGCTCTTACCTTTTTTGTCTTACTTTGTATTTGTCAAGTGAATTTATAGGTTTTACCTGGAAATCAGGTGCACGCGTGCGTGCGTGCG